TGAATTAGTGATTAATCCATCACTTAATTTAGAGTGAATAGAGTTCTCATTGTGCATATATGCATGCATGAATCTCAGATTCAATTCAGGCAAAATAAAATCTACCATTAAATGAGTGTCTAAATTCTTTAGGACATGGTTATACAATAATGACTATCAAGAGTTTTGCATAGAATTAGCAATCATTGTGTCATTTATTAGATATATACTTTGTATCTACTAATCTTTAGGCTTTCAAACCCATTTTAGAGGACATTCCTTATTTTAAAATGCAGGGCACTCATTGATCTATTATGGACAAATTAGGAGAGACAGAAAATATGTTAGAAGTGACCAGGGGCTGGGCATAAGGGGAAATGGGTGGTTATTGCTTCATACGACAGGATCTTTGTTTGGTGCAGTGAAAAACCACTGGAAACAGACCGTGGTGGTATTTGCACAACATTGTAAATGTAACTAATGCCACTAAATTGTACACTTAAAAGGGTTGAAATTGCAAGTTTACTTTAACATATATTTACCACACTAAAAGTAGTAAACAAAAATAGAGAACACACATTTATGTATTAGACATAGAAATAAGACAGAAGTGCAGACCCGACAGAGGCTACATGACAGTGAATAACTATATGACAATATATATGAAAACTTTTTCAGCATTGAAATGTTTCTAGAAAAAAGTAACTGAAATTGACTCAAGAAAAAAATAGGTAAAATGTGAGGCCTACAACTATAAAATAAACAAGCAGTAAAATGTCAACTACAGATCTCCAAAAGGAGGCTCAGATGTTTTTTATAGGATAGTTTTACTTAACTTTCAAAAACAGATTATTTTCAAACTTTTGGAACCTCTTCCATAATAGGGAAGAAAGTGTATAGTTGTCAACTTATTTTGTTATATCAGTAAATTTTGATACTAAGCCATAAAGGAAAATCAGACATAAACTTCCTGGTTTTTGTAAAATATATCTCCCTTAAGAATATTCTTAATGGACTTCCGGTCAAGATGGCAGCGTAGGTAAACGCGGTATCGCGTCCTCCCACAACCACATCAAAGTTACAACTAAACTACAGAACAACCATCATTCAAAACCGCCTGAAATCAAGTTGAATGGAAGTCGTACAGCTACGGAATTAAAAAAAAAAAAAGCAGCTACATCCAGACCGGTAGGACAGGCGGCGGCGCGAGGGTGGGCGGCCGCGGGGCTGCGCGACGGGCTGGTCCCACACCCACGTGTGGCGGATAAAAATCAGGAGGCTCCCGCGGCTGGGAAGGTACTTCCTGAGGACTGAGGGGTCCCCGTCCCACACCAGGTGCCCCGTTCAGGGTTCCAGTGACAGGAAGAGAAATCCCCATAACTTCTGGCTGGAAAAACCAGCAGAAACTGAGGCTCAGGGAAGCTGACCTGGCTGGAGCCCCAGGCAGCTCCCTAAAGGGCCCGCGCACGGACTTATCGGACTCTCTCCCTCTAAGCTCGGAGGGGAGGCAGCTCGAGGGGCGCCAGAGACACACAGGGAAGAACTGAGCTGTTTGGCACTGGAGTGAGGGCTGGAGAAGGGGCTTCCTCGGGGACAAACGTGCTGTCAGAGGCCTTTGTTCCTTTGCTGAGTCCTTCCCTGGGGCGGCAGACAGTCGCCATATCTGGGACTCCAGCAACCTGGCTCACACTGGTAGCCCCGCCCTGGTGACTCCCTGAGGCCCTGCCCCGCCCCACCCAACTTTCAAGCCCACCCAAGCTGTTGCCACTTGCTTAACCATAGGATTGGCCTGTCTTGGATCCTGCTTCAGGTTTTTCCTAAATTCTTTCAAATGAGCAGCATCTGGTCTCAGCGAGCCCCATACCTCTCATTAAGTAATACACCGAAACAAACACAGGGAGGCAGCCAAAATGAGGATACAAAGAAACAGGTCTCAAATGAAAGAACAGAACAAAACCCCAATAAAAGAACTAAGCGAAAGGGAGATAAGCAACCTAACAGATACTGAGTTCAAAATACTGCTTATAAGGATGCTCAGTGAACTTAGTGAGAACCTCAGTGAACTTAGGGAGGGCCTCAAGAGCATAAAAAAGGGCCAGTTAGAAATCATGGATACAGCCCTGGCCGGTTTGGCGCAATGGTTAGAGCGTCGGCCTGCGGTCTGGAGAAATCATGGATACACAGTTAGAATTGAAGGAGGCATTAACTGAAATAAAGAATAATTTACACAGCTTCAATAATAGAGTATGTAAATCCAAGAAGCAAACCATCGATTTGGAATATAAGGAAGCAAAAATTCCCCAATCAGAACAGCAAAAAGAAAAAAGAATCCAAAAGAATGAGGATAGTGTAAGGAGCCTCTGGGACAACTTCAAGCATGCCAACATTCGCATCTTGGGGGTGCCAGAAGGAGAAGAGCGAGAACAAGAAATTGAAAGCCTGTTTGAAACAATAATGGCAGAAAACTTTCCTAACTTGGTGAAGGAAACAGACATACCAGTCCAGGAAGCACAGAGAGTCCCAAACAAGATGAACCCCAAGAGGCCCACACCAAGACACATCATCATCAAAATGCAAAAGGTTCAAGACAAAGAGAGAATCTTAAAAGCAGCAAGAGAAAGGCAGCTAGTTACCTACAAGGTAGTACCCATTAGGCTGTCAGCTGATTTCTCAAAGGAAACTTTGCAGGCCAGAAGGGAGTGGCAAGAAATATTCAGAGTGATGAAAACCAAGAACCTACAACCAAGATTACTCTATCCTGCAAAGCTGTCATTTAGAATCAATGGACATATAAAAACTTTCCCAGACAAGAAAAAGTTAAAGGAGTTCATCACTACCAAACCGTTATTATATGAAATGATGAAGGGTCTTTTTGAAGAAAAAGATAAAATGTATGAACAAACAAAATGGCAATGAGTACATATCTATCAACAATGGAATCTACAAACAAAATGAACAGGAAGAACAGAAACATTCTCATAGATACAGAGAACATTTTGTTGGTTGCCAGTTGGGAAGGGGGTTGGTGGAATGGGTGAAAAAGGTGAAGGGATTAAGAAGCACAAATTCATTGCTAGACTGACAAACCTCAAAGAGAAAGGGTTTGGGGGGGTGGGAAGAAATAAACCAAAGAACTTATATGCATAACCAATGGACACAGACAATAGTGTGGGAAAAGGTGGGAGGGAGGCGGGAGTGGGGAGGAGGGGGTCAATGGGGGAAAAATGTGGAACATCTGTAACACATTTTACATCCAACAATAAAGATTAAAAAAAAAAAAAAAAAAGAATATTCTTAATGGTAAAATAGTATATGTATTCCTTTTTAAATAAGGTATAATTTAATCAGATTAACTATCACCTATTCCAGTAAGAGGTATACAAGAGACCCAAGGCAGTTAAAAAATAAATAAATAAAGTTTAAAAGTAAGAATTTAAAATGTATTCATGAAGTGTAAATGGCAAATACATAAAAAGGCATGCAACTAACTGACTAACAATGGAGATGCAGAAAAGGTCACTTTTATACACTCTAAAGTAGTAGAAATAATAAAATCTAATGTACGCATGTTATGAGCATTTAAATTAATAAAATAGTCTGGCCAGTGTGGCTCAGTGGTTGTGTGTCAACCCATGCACTAAGAGGTCACTGGTTTAATTCCCAGTCAGGACACATGCCCAGGTTGTGGCCCGAACCCCAGTGGGGGGCATGCAGGAAGCAGCCAGTGGATGTACTCTCTCATCGATGTTTCTCTCTCTCTCTCCTTCTCACTTCCTCTCTTTCTAAAAATCAATAAAGAAAAAAAATAAAAATAAAAAATAAAATAAATTAATAAAATCATTTTGGAAAATCACAATTTTATAAAATTGAATTTTTGCTTTATTATCTAGAATTTTTATTTATTTTCTAGCAATATTGTTAATCTAAAGCATTCATTTTCTTTATCTGACGATGAATAATACTTTTTAATACATTAATTTTTGCTCAAGATATGATTTTATATAGGATAGCATTTATGTAATTTCTTACAGTATTGATTTCTAATTATATTATTCTTAATATTATATTAGGGTCCTAATTTAAAAATTACAACTTAATTAAATATGGGTAGTTGCATAGGAACGTAAACAATATGAATGCAAGAGTATGTTTTAGTAAAAAATGATAATTATTTATCATGGTGTAATGTCTTCTAAAGTATTATGCTTTTATTCTAAGATAGATGTTTCGGGGCGCTGCCTCTCTGGTGCAGCTCCCAGGGGTGGGGGTGCCAGATGTTGGACATGAAGCCCTGGCTCCTTGGGGGAGGTGCCTGTCTGGGGAAATCCCTTCCTATTGCTTGTTGCCATGTCAGGGGTGGGTTTTTTTGCGAAAAAGTGTCTCTGTTTTTCCTCCCATCCAATGCGGTCCTTTTATTTGTTGTGGAGAACAGCAGTGCATCGAGAGTTCAGATTATTTTCTGAGTGAAATGATCCCTAGCTGGTTGTAAGTTTGGTGTGTTTGTGGGAGGAGGTGAGTTCAGCACATTCATAGGCTGCCATCTTGGACTCCGCCCTAGATACCTTTAAATCTGCTGATCTAGATTCACATGTAGCTGTCACATTTTTTAAGCTAGATTATTTAATAGAAATAGCATACTCTGTGTTATCTTGTGTGTGTTAGCTTTATGAAAATATATGCCAATATATGGAAAACCACTCTCCACCTACATGTACTTTTTATAAAGCCTTCTCAAAGGAGATTTGCATTAAGCATTCTTCAAATACCTCATATAAGAGGATTCTATGCACAGAAGCCATGCCATTTCATTGAGAAACTATTGCAGAAGGTACAGTGTGGCAAGTGGAAACGGTGTGCTAATTATAGTGATGGAACTTTAGCAGTCGTCTGGCATGATCTGCTGTCATGATATGCACTGTCTGATGTGCATTTTAAATGTTTTTTCCTGCCATTGCTTTCCTTTTTGCTTTTATTACATGATGTTATATCTATCTGAGATGTTCGTTTCTGTTTATTGCCAGGTTATCCAGATAAATTTTGAAGAATTTGATCTGGAGATTGGCTATGATACTTTGACCATTGGTGACGGAGGTGAAGTTGGAGACCCCAGAACAGTGCTCCAAGTGTAAGTTCTCAATGTTTTACTCTTGACTGTGTCTATCAGGTCTTTTAAAAAAATTTCCCTTATTATATTTTTTATTAATCTCTCACTATCACTAACAGAAGAAGCATAATAGCTTGGTTATTATCATCAAACTACATACAGTATATTTATGAGTCCTTCAATGGGACTTAATGTACTTAATCCAAACACAACTTCTTAGAATATATTGCTAGACAAGAGCCCGTTGGAAACGGAGGCCTAGAGAAAATTGTAAAGTGGTGGATTGGGCCTTATTTTGGAAAATGCCTTTGCCCTTACAGAATTTAAAAACAGAAAAAACAAAACAAAACAAAACAAAACAAAAACCCATCAAGTATAAAATTGATCCCAGAGACTCATACTAGTACCAAGACTGGTCAGTATTTCTCACTTATTGGTGGCAAACTCATCTCTAGTTGTCAAGATCTGAATTTGAGAGTTTATCAGTAGTTTGAAACAAAGTACTTAGCAATGAAACCTGAAGTAGTGAGCCACCAATGAAACTGTTATCACAGATTTGTGACAGTTAAAATAGACCAAGTATGGTTCTTTTTTTTCGTACATGCCCTTAGTGGAAACTGAACCCGGGACTCTCTGGTCCGCAGGCCGATGCTCCAACCATAGAGCCAAACCAGCCAGGGCAATCAAGGATGGTTCTTAATGGGAACTGAAAGAATAAACTTATGATGAAAAAAAGAAAATGTTAGGAACTTATTTGTTGTTGAGTCCTTGAGCTATTCATTCCAATTATCTACCTCTGATAATGGTATGAAGAAATATTACAGGGTCAGTATATTATTTACTTTGCTATGAATTTCAAAAGCTTAGGGTATGGTTTCTTTCAGAATTCCTTTTATATCTCTTGATTTACAATTCAGGCTTTATCAAGCCAATATTTCTCAAAATGGGTCTTTTGCATCACAATTACCTGGAACACTTTTTAAAATGTAGATTTTTGACCCTGGCCAGTTTGGCTTGGCAGTTAGACCATCTGCCCATGGACCAGAGTCATAGGTTCAATTCTGGTCAAGGGCACGTACCTCTGTTGCAGTTCAATCCCTGGACCTGGTTGGGGTCCTGCAGGAGGCAACCAATCAAAGTGTCTCTTTCACATCAATATTTCTCTCTCTCTCTTTCCCTTCCCCCTTCCCTCCCTCCCTCTCTATGTCAAAATCAATGGAAAAATATCCTCGGGTGAGGATTAAAAAAAGTGTAGTTTTCTGGACCCCCATACTTTACTTACTGAATTAGTAGTATTCTGGGATTTTGAGCCCAATATTTACATTTTCAATAGGTTCACCCAGTGATAATTATGCACACTAAAAGCTTGAGAACTACTGATATAAATATTTTAAAAAATTATTTTCAGCATAAGCAACTCCTAGATATAATGCACTTATTATGTATATATTTCTTACTGTATAAATGGACTGAAGGTAAGCTACTCTTTTTTCATTATTTCCTTTCTTCTTGCTTTCATTCTCTTTTTTTTTTCTTTTGGACTGTCAGTTTTCCTAGTACTATTATTCCAGGATTCTATAATAAAGCCAAGGATTTACCTTACATGGACATTATAGTTCCCAGTATTATTCCCTCTTAGTTCTTATCTTTCCAGGAAAAACTAAAACTAAAACAAAACAAACAAAAAGCAAAGCAAAGAAAAACCCCACTCTTCTTGTCTGTCCTCACGCATGCTGGACCTCAATTTCAACCTCATCTTCTCCCCACAACTGAGTTGTCTGTTTCTCAGCCTATTACAGTACCACTTTGTGGTTCTTAAGCTAGGAAGGATAAAGGGTCAGCATTGTACATGTTCTACATGTTTGGCTGTGGTGCTCAAATTGTTTCTAACACTTTAAGCCCCTTAAAAAGTCTCAGCATTTTTATCAGAATGATGAGCCTGATCGGCATTTCACTACATTGGATTAATATCATCTAGAAATAATCTATAGTTTCTCCTAGATTTCCTTGTGATTTTTAAATGTTATAGCTTAGATTTCTTTATACTGTAATATTAAATTAGAAACTGGCAGCCACAGAGTTAGTATGATCAGTAGATATATATGTTTATTGTTTTGGAAGTGCCGGGTTTTAAAGAACTAAAAATTATATGCAAAAAATCTGAATTTGTGGTTTCTATTGACAAACTGTCAACACGAGGCCTGGATTATCACATAGCAAAAATTGGCTGGAATGGTCCTCTTGTCCCATTTAGAGAGGGCACAAGTTCTCCATGGTCACTGATTCTTTTATGGTTTTGCACTGGAGCTTCTAAGAACTTTTGCATTTGCCTGTGAATGGCCATTTATATATATGACACCTGATGCAATACAGAAATTGGTTTCATTCTTGAATTTATAAATTAACATTTTCTGGATAAACATTGTATCTGTTCCTTTACTTGACATAAAGTGAAAGTTTCTTGGACATTAGTAATATATAGCAAATTTGGTGAATGATCCTCACACATTTTGAAATGTATTTCTACAAGTTTGATAGATCACATCATCTATGCTTCAGAAATGAAACTGTATAATGTGTACGTGATGGAACATATCATTTTCTGCTTAAGATAGAGGATTAGCCCTGGCCGATTTGGCTCAGCGGTTCGAGTGCCAGCCCTTGCATTGAAGAGTCTCGGGTTTGATTTCTGGTCAAGGGCAAGTGCCTCACTTGTAGGCTGGATCCCCAGCCCCGGCAGGGGTCATGTTGGAGGCAACGAGTCCATGTGTCTCTCTCACATTGATGTTTTTCTCTTTCTTTCTCTCCCTCCCTCCCTTCCACTGTATCTACAAATCAATGGAAAAATATCTTTAGGTGAGGATTAACAACAAAAAACAAAGTTAGAGGATTAGATTTTAGGATTAATTTCTTTAAAACATAGGCAGGGAAGGGTAAACCAGCTAGGCCATTGGCTAAAAGGCTTTTATCCTGTCTTCCACAAAAAAAGCTTTGTATCTCAGCTTCAGATCAAATACTAGAAGTCATCTTGTATAAGTAACATCCAAGTTCACGGCTGATATATCCAACTTTGGCTAATGCCTCAAAATATGTGTGCTTATTTATATCATAAATTGTAAGCAGAATAATTATGAATATTTGTAGTAAAACAGTAAGACACAGAAAGAAGATATCAAAATTATTACCTTAATTACCCAACCATTAGAACTGGTAAAATGTGAAAGAGTGCATTTATTTGGATTAAAAAGCAATTTGTACAATTCCTGATATTAAAAAAAATAATAATATATTTCAACCATATAATTAACTCTTTTCCAATGTTAACATTATGAAGAAAATCATGAATTATGATATAGCTGTTGACAGTTTTCTTTACAGGGCAAATTATTGTATTAATAACACAGAATGGTCATGAAATACTATTTTTTCAAAAGAATTCCAACTTCTAAAGTGGATTTTCCTATAGAGGTACCATCAAATTCAGAGTTCACATTGAGAACTTCATCTCCAGGGGGAATAAAAAGTAAAGCTTCGTTCTGTGACCATTACCAATGGGTAAGTTAGACCCTCAGTGAGAGTACGGGAGAGCTGAGAGAATGAAAAAACAAATACCTTATACTTTAACAACTTTATGAGACTAGCATACACATACATACACAATTATTTAGGCTTTATTGTAGTCATATATCTTACATGTTTTTCTAAAGCTCAAAGTAGGAAGAAATAGGACAATAATCTGTACTATATAATATTTATGTACTTAGAGAAAACCCCCTTATATTTTAAATATAGTCATACATTATCTAACAAATAAAGTCTTTCTTAAATAAAGAAGCCCTGTGTGGGGTTCTGGGGAAAGGCAGTGGCCCCTCCCTCGGAGATTCGACCCCACCCAGGTGGGCCATAGAAACGCAAATTGAGGCTCATTCACAACCAGTGTCTGCCTCACCCTTGACAAATCCTCTTATGCTGAACACCTGAGGGAGTTTTTCATTCAAGTGAGAAACCAAGATTCCTCAAGTAACCAAGACTAACAGCCTCCAGGCAAAAAGCTAGAGGATAACTAAACATTTCCTGGGGTTCCAAATCTACCCAGGAAAGTAAGACTTGACAATGGTGTTTAACATGGGTCCTCCCATACTCATCCAAACTAGGTAGAGGGAGCCACAAATAGCAGAACAACAAACACCCACAGGGAAAAGATGGCAGGCTCCAAAACCCACGGAGATAGCCAAAATAGTGAAACAAAGAAACAAATACCAAATTAAAGAACAAGAGACCTCTACCAAAGATGAGATAAATGAAATGCAGTTAAGCAAGTTATCAGAGCTAGAATTTGGAGCCATGATATTGAGGAAGCTCAACAGCATGAGTAAGGACATCAACACCATGAATAAAGACATAGAAACATTAAAAATTAACCAATTGGAAATGAAAAACCACCAAGAAGAAATGAAGAATGACATAGCAGAAATAAAGAACACATTGGAAGGACTAAACAGCAGAGTAGAGGAAACTGAGGACCACATCAGTGAATTAGAAGACAGGGTACAAAAAATCAACCAATCAGAAAACCAAAAGGAAAAAAACAATTAAAAAACAGGAAGACAGCTTAAGAGAACTGTGGGACAACTAGAAATGTAATAATATTCATATAATAGGAGTCCCCAAAGAAGAAAAAGAGCAAAGGTTAGAGAATATATTTGAAGAAATAGTGACAGAAAACCTCCCTAATTTGGTGAAGGAAGAAGGCATTCAAGTTCAAGAAGCATAGAGAGCCCCAAGTAAGAAGAACCCAAACAGGCCTACACCAAGACACATAGTAATCAAAGTGCCAAAAATTAAAGACAAAGAGATAATCCTAAAGGCAGCAAGAGATAAGCAACAGGTAACCTACAAAGGAACCCCTATAAGGCTCTCAGCTAACTTCTCAACAGAAACACTATAGGCCAGAAGGGAATGGCATTAAGTAACCAAGGTCATGAAAAAACAGGATCTGAATCCAAGAATACCATATCCAG